GCACAAACAGGGACTGACACACACCCTCTGCCTTCCATGTGAGCAGATGTAGGCCATATTGTACACTGGGTCAGGTGGCAGTCACAGGCTCAAATACCTACCACCTAGTTTTCAGATTGCTGTTCCCACATGTTCATTTGCACTGATGGTCCTTTTAATACCATAAACCTGTGTATTTACATGCACAAGAAATGATTGCAGTTTTTATTATATTGTTATATTATTATACTAATATAGCTGCAACTGATGCCATTTCATTGTTGAATGATCTGTTGATTTTATTATTTCATTTTTTAAATAGTTGTGCCTTTGAAATGTCAGATAATAGTGAAAATATCCATCACAATTTACCAAAGTTGTTTTTTTTTTTATTACAAGTCCAGAAGTCTATTTACTGTGTAGTCATTATACAATGATAATAAACACTTACATTAGCGAAGCTTGAACCAGAGAATATGTATTATTTTTGCTTGATAAATGAGTTAGATGATGAATTAAGCACATCTTCATTAGAGCTGTACACATGCAGTCGGTACAGAGGGATTGGTTACTGAAATCAGCCAGTGTTTTTGGCAGAAATCAGACTTGAACCACCGTTTGGCCTCAGATCTACATGACTTTGAGTAAAACGTGCTTAACATTTTTGGAAGGTAAAAACTGGTCTGTGGAAAAAAGTGTTTAAACCAGTTCATTCTGCCTCAGCTGGCTGACTTGAAATTGCCGGCTGAAGCAGGGCTACCTCCGCCCAAGCCAGGCACGCTGCGTCCACGTGAGGTCCCCCCACCCCCGAGGCCCTCCCCCCACACCATCACCCTGCAGCCCCCAGCTTTCAGGAACCTGAGGCTCCCCAAGAGGCTGCGTGTGGTGTACTTCTTGGCCCGTACACGCCTAGCGCAGCGCATCATCATGGTGAGAGCGCAGAATCTGATTGTACATTTGTGTTGTGTGCACAGTCTACTGTCATTTGTCTTAAATTGTTGCTGCCTTTGCACTGTTTGTTTGCCTTGTGCATTTGGATTCATTGTGTTACTAATGTTGTCCTCATTGTATTAATGTCACAAAGACTCTCAGAAACTTTGTCAAATTTTTGTTCGGTGATACATCAGTGTGGCAGCACCCTCAGTGTACCACATTAACAGGGAGTATGCCCACATTAAGATAGTCAAAGTAAGGCCCTGATATTCTCAAAACTGAACACAGTTGTGTGCGGCTTAAGTCACTGAGGGTCAGCACAGGCATATGTGTGGACATGCGCATACAATCACTGACATGGGCAGATGACTAAACGTGTGTCACCTGGAGCCCTGTAGCTATGCTGATGTGTAATCAATGACTATAACTATCAGCTTTAGTGTGTGATGAAGTTTCCCTGTTGGATGTGGAACACTATATTGTGTCCCTTATTTTATCATTCCTTGATCCTCGTTCAACCTGGAAGTCGTTCCAGTCCACCGAGATGAAGGACGTCCCAAAGCTCGTACAGTATTTCTGCTCTTGGGAGCGAGGAGGCTGCCTGGAGGAGCTATAACTGAAGATACTCCTCCCCTTTGTCAGAAAATAGATTTGTGATTGGGCACTTCACACAAAGGCTCAAGGAAAAGACATCAGTTAAAATTTGTTTCCTTGGTTCTTCTCTCCTTGCAGTTTCTGAATGCATCTTACATGGGTGAGACTATGAAGCAAGTGAGGGAAATGTGGATGCAGTTAGATGAATTAGGATTCACCTAGTGAGAATGCAAAGGAATGGTTTGTTGTGATAGTAACTGAAAAACAGTTTCATCAGTATAGCTGAAAAAAATCAACTGGACTAGATTTCTAGTTCAAAGACGTTTCACCTCTCATCCAAGAGGCTTCATGAGTTTTGACCGACTGGTGTTGAGCCGGAGACATTTATCCCCCTTGGTGGTGTTTCAGTCCTTTGATGCCCAACGATGTCCCCTAACGACTGACTCGTTATAGCCCAGTATCGGTGAGAGTCGTTACCTGTCTTTGAATCCTCCCCTATGGACCGATGTCTATTGTCCTGGTGGGCATGTTTGGGCAGAGATCTCAAAACAGGATTGTAGATGGATGACAAGTTGTGTCTTAGTCCACCACCCCTATTTAGTGAGGGGTGTTCTATTTGGACAAAAATAGCTTCCTTAACTCCTCTCTCAAACCAGCGATGTTCTCTGGAGAGGATCTGGACTTCACTGTCCTCAAAAGAATGTCCTTTGTCCTTCAGGTGGAGGTGGACTGCTGACTCTGGTCCACTGGAGTTGGCCCTCCTGTGTTGGGCCATACGTTTGTGCAGTGGCTGCTTAGTTTCACCAATGTACAAGTTGTTACACTCCTGACTATACTTAATTGCATACACCACATCACTCTGTTTATGTCTTGTTGTTTAGTCTTTCAGGTGGACCAGTCTCTGCCGCAGGGTGTTC